CTTTGAGGCCAAAGCGGTTCCCTTTCAGGCTTATTTGGCCGCCTGGACCCAAAGGAGACAAAGGCTTTTTGGAACAGGAACCAAGCAGCTCCGCAATGAAGTCAGAAATCCAGCCTAGAATCTCAAAGCCAAGCAGAAAAAAATCAACCAAGCAGTTCAAGGGAATTAAGAAAACGAGTTCTCGTTGGCCAAAGAAGCTTCCAAAGAAGGAGCTTCCACCACACTCCCTCCGGGGCAGAGAGTTCCACTGCTGAACGGCTCTCACAGTCAGGAAGTTCTTCCTTGTGTTCAGATGGAATCTCCTCTCTTGTAGTTTGAAGCCATTGTTCCATTGCGTCCTAGTCTCCAAGGAAGCAGAAAGGAAGCTTGCTCCCTCCTCCTCCCTGTGGCTTCCTCTCACATATTTATACATGTCCCTCATCATATCTCCTCTCAGCCTTCTCTTCTTCAGGCTAAACATGCCCAGCTCCTTAAGCCGCTCCTCATAGGGCTTGTTCTCCAGACCCTTGATCCTTTGAGTAACCCTCCTCTGGACTCATTCCAGCTTGTCAACAACTCTCTTCAATTGTGGTGCCCAGAATTGGACACAATGTGATTCCAGGTAAAGTAGTCTAACCAAGGCAGAATAGAGCATGGGGAGCATGACTAGGCTCCTCTTGATGCAGGCCAACATCCCATTGTCCTTTTCTCCTGCTACATCACATTGTTGGCTCATGTTTACCTTCCTCTCCACGAGGACTCCAAGATCTTTTCCACACGTCCTCCTCTCGAGCCAGGCCTCATTGTCCCCCATTCTGTCTCTTTGCATTTCGTTTTTCTGCCTAAGTGGAGTCTCTTGCATTTGTCCCCGTTGAACTTCATTTTGTTAGTTTTGGCCCATCATCTCTCTAATCTGTGGAGATCCCTTTGAGTCCTGCTCCTATCCTCTGGAGTCTTGGCTCTCCCTCCCAGTTTGGTCCTGTCTGCAAACTTGATGATCCTGCCTTCTAACCCTTCATCTCAGTCATGAATGAAGATCCTGATCAGGACCGGGCCCAGGACAGAACCCTGCTTGTGGCACTCCACTCATCACTTCTTTCCAAGATGAAGAGGAAGCCTTGGGGAGAATCACCCTCTGCGCTGAAGCTGTGTTTTGGGAGCCAGGAAACCCCTCCCGGCCTGAGAGCAGGTGGGCAAGTGGCCCCAATGCCCCCAAAGAGGGGCCTTTCCAGCAGCCCCTCCACTCCGCTCCGCTCGGGCTGCTAGCATCGCCTTAACTGGCGGGCGGAGGAGGGATAATCCCCTCCTGACTCTTCCTTCCTTCCTTCCTTCCAGGTGGATTCGCTTTCAACTCCCCAGAAAGCCTTGCCAGTGTAATGTTCTTTAATCTGGGTTGAAGAGCTGGAAGCCTTATTAAGGACAATGTGCGCACTCCGCAGGTACCACTGCCATGCTTCCGCGTTTGGAAGAGGTGGGCGCGGATGCACGGATGCACAAAAGGGGAGACGGTGCGAGGGGGCTCCGAAGGGGAAGGCGACCGTGCGCCCCACGGAATGGGCTGAGGGAAATGCAGTGGGGGTGGATTGGGGGCTGGATTTGCTCATGACATTTCATGGAAAGATGCTGCAGCCGTATGGATGACGTGGCCATAGGTCAGGAATGGGCCAGCTTGGGCCCTCTCTCCAGGTGGTTTGGACTTGGACTCCAATAACATGGGTATGCAGATGATCCCTTGGTGGACTGAAGTGTCCACTTCCAAGAGGACAAAGGGCCAACTTCAGCACTCCTTCCAAGTGTTTTGGACTCCAACTCCCACCATTCCTAACAGCCTCAGGCCCTTTCCTTTTCCCCCTCAGCCGCTTAAGCAGGAAAAACGAAATGCAAAGAGATGCAGGAAGGGGAACATGAGCCAGGAATGTGATGTGGCGGCAAAAAAGGCCAATGGGATGTTGGCCTGCATCAAGAGGAGCCTAGTGTCTAGGTCCAGGGAAGTCATGCTCCCCATGCTCTATTCCGCTTTGGTTAGACCACTTTACCTGGAATATTGTGTCCAATTCTGGGCACCACCGTTCAAGAGAGGTATTGACTCTAAGCTGGAATGTGTCCAGAGGAAGAGGGCGACCAAGCCCTATGAGGAGCGGCTTAAGGAGCTGGGCATGTTTAACCTGAAGAAGAGAAGGCTGAGAGAAGACATGATGAGGGCCATGAATAAGTATGTGAGGGGAAGCCACAGGGAGGAAGGAAATTATTCAACCCTTCCTTTCTGCTTCCCTGGAGATTAGGGCAAGGAACAATGGCTTCAAACTACAAGAGATGAGAGTCCACCTGAACACGAGGAAGAACTTCCTGACTGTGAGAGCCGTTCAGCAGTGGAACTCTCTGCCCCGGAGGGAGTGTGGTGGAGGATCCTTCTTTAGAAACTTTTAAACAGAGGCTGGATGGCCATCTGTCAGGGGTGATTTGAATGCAATATTCCTGCTTCTTGGCAGAATGGGGTTGGACTGGATGGCCCATGAGGTCTCTTTCAACTCTTTGATTCTGTGATTCTATGATTCTATGAAACCTGTTCATACGTATTCGCATAGCAGTCCTTTTGGAAGAAAAGAATAGAGAGAAACTCATATTTAAACATTGTTTTGTAAGCAGCAAGCAATTGATCCTCTGTAACCACTACGCTTATACCATAGGAATGATACAAATAAACTAAGTAACTGTTTCACCTTCAAACAAACTCTCGCTCTCCGTGTATCACTTCCAGCTTGAGGAGTCTTAAAAGGAAGAAGAAGAAAACAATCCTTTGAGGATGCTTGCCATAGATGGAGAAATGCCTCTAGAACATGGCCATACAGCCCGAAAAAATCTACAACAACCCAAACAATCCTTTGCTCAGACTATCAGCCTGTCCCCTTCCTGACCATTTTGCATTCCTGATTAGATAAGCAAATAAGAGGTCCCTTCAGCCAGGCCATGAGACCAGAGAGTGCCTTCACATATTGATTGGTGGCAGCAATGCGATAGAAAAAGAAAAGGTCCACGCTGCCACGTGAAAGAACAGAGTGCGTCACACCCTCCTCTGAAACAACGGCTCGCAGGCACATACACAGCGCAGGAGTACGACACAAAAGCAACGGGCGGCCTCTGCTCACTGACGGGGCCACAGAGGGATTTCAGCAGGAGGCGGGCGCTCATTCCCCGCTTCCCATTCACACAGAAGGAAAAGTGCTCCGGGCGTCACATTGGCAGCCGCTTTGTGGCGCAACCTGACAGCCCTTCCATCACAAAGCAAAGAGGAAGAGGCCCACAAAGAGAGAGAATCCCTAGAAAGCGCACTTGCGGCACCGGAAGACGATTGCCTGCCACCCCTCTTCGCTCCTTTTAGAACACAGAAGCCGCCACCAGTGCCTCTCGTGGCACCTTCGGCGGCACTTTTCCAAATAATCTCGTAAATTATTCAACCCTGCCTTGTTCAGAAGGCGCACGAGACAAAACTCGCAGGGATTTTCCTTTCAAAGGTCTTCCGTGACACCGTTCTGTAGGTTCCTGGCACTTGCCTCGGCCTGTCGGGGCCTTTGAACTCCGCTCAACAGACAACCAAGCGGCTTCTTCAGAATTAAAAATGCTGCCCTTGATGTTCTGTGGGGGGAATGCAACGCACTATCCGCCCGGCATGCACAGCTTTATTTATTCCTGCCGAGTACGCCCAGCATGAGCCAAAGACGCACGACCAGTGGCGAGGGTCCTGCTCGACCTGAAAGAGATTCAAGCCCACACTGCCCAAGTCTCTAGTCCTGAATGAGGAACAAGTTCGCTAGCTTAGAACAGGTTGAGGGTGTCCCTTCCCTCCCGTCTCCTGTATGGCAAGAGGAATGTAACTCTTGGCGCTCCCCTCTCTCTTTCCTGCTTTGGTACAATGGAGGCTTTTCTATGGCAAGCCTCTGCTTCTGACTCCTTCTTTGGCCCCTGGGTGTGCACTGTGTGCCTTGAGATCTCTCTCTGCTTGTGTGTGTGTGTGTGACACAGGCACGCAGCGCTTGGAGTTTTCCCTCTCTGAAACCCTAGAAGAGATAGAGGTATAGAGAAGCTAGGACCACTTCTCTAGATACGGTTTTTGTAAATAGATCTTTTGTGATTATAAAGACAGAATTCTGCGTGTTTGCCTCCGAAGCTCCGAATTCTCCGCAGCCACGAGGCCCTTCACGCTTTGCTTGCTGTGAGCGGATTGCTCAACTTTTGGTATCCTGTTTGCATTTTGGGGAGTTTTCTCTTAACTTGCAGCATTGTCTCAGCCCTGAAACCTGCACGCAAAACATCAGGAGGCAATGCTGCTAGAACATGGCCATGCAGACCGGAAACCACACAACACCCCGGTGATTCCGGCTGCGAAAGCTTTCGGCGATACACTGAGAGAACATTTCCCAACAGCCACAATGGGCGCCGCTCGGACTTCGAACCACTACGAGTTCCACTGTCATTACTTGCAATGGTTGTAGCACCGCCACCTCCTGATTGGCAGCCTCGAGGAGGAGGGCCAAACCCTCAGTCCCAGCACCCTCCAGGCCCAATCCCTGGAGCCAACTTGGGCCCTTCCTCCAGGTGCTTTGTACTCCAACTCCCACCATTCCTAACAGCCCCAGGCCCTTTCCTTTTCCCCCTCAGCCGCTTAAGTGTTATATCTGTTGGGATATGAAGCTAGGCATCTTTTAGATCTATCATTCTATCATCTAGCTTAAGCGGCTGAGGGGGAAAAGGAAGGGGCCTGAGGCTGTTAGGAATGGTGGGAGTTGGAGTACAAAACACCTGGAGGAAGGGAGGGAGGGAGGGCCCAAGCTTGCCGCTGCCTGCGCCAAACGCAAACGGCGCACTGCTCTCAAGGCCCTGCCGTCCATCAGGCGGCAAAATGCACATTCCCTTCTCGTTCCCCTGCACGGAAGCATCATCACCTCTCTCGCGTGACAAAAGAAGGACCCCGGCGACAGCGTTCGCGAGGGCAGGAAAGTGGGAGCGCCCCGTGGCAGCCTTACCTCCTGCAGCTGCAGCCTCACTTTGTTGATGGCGCGGACCCAGCGGGCTCTGGCGGGCGGAAACAGCGGAGCCTCGCCTTCATCGGGGAAACTGAAAGGAAGCGGAGACTCTTGTGAGCGTCAGCAGGAACCTATGGAGGCCGTGAAGTCCTAGAAGGAGTGCGGTGAGAAACGGGCAATGGCACAAGGAAACCTAGGAGAGCCAGGGCTGAGGAGCAGTGGCCAGGCCTGCCCCTCCTTCCCCTCCCTATGGCACTGACCCCCCCCTTCAAGGCCCACCTGGCCAAGGGAAGCCCACAGGAATGTGCACTGCGTACCTGACAGGCGTCTTTGGAGCAATCTCTCTGGGCCCTCCTGGCGCTGCGGCTGGGGGTGCCAGGGCGGGCCCCCTGCTTGTCTCCTCCTTCTCCGGCACCTTCTCCCTCTCAATGGGCGCTCCCTCCGGGGCCTCGTGCGGCTTGGCGCTCGGCCTGTGCTCGTCGTCGTCCTCCAGGAGGGGGGAGGCGGGGGGCCCTTCGGGGGGCTCTTCCTCCGGCTCGGACCCGGGGGCGCTCCCCTGGAGAAGGTCCAAGTCGCTCAGCTGGGAGCTGCCCCGACTAATGTTGCAGGAAGAGCCGAACCGGCTGCTCCCGGCCGGACTGTGGGAAGAAAAGTGTGCGTCAGGCAGGAAGGAACGAGTGGCACGCGGGAGCCAGGCGCTCCGAAGAGGAGGCACCACCACCAGTCACACGCTCAAGCGGACCCACGGTGGGAGAGGGGGAAACCTTTGGGAACACAAGGCCGCTCTTGAAGGGCGCTGAGTGTTCTCTGGTCGTATCCCACACACAGGATAAGGCTGGGCCCAGGCCCCAGAAATGGACCACCGGGCCACCAAGCACCCCCTCCCCACATTCCCACATCAAGACTGACAGCAGAGGTTTCCATCTCTCCCAATGGGCCGTGGCACACTGGACCACACACGTCCTGTGGAGTTCCTTCCTAAGGTGTAAAGTGTGGGAGGTTTCAGCATGTCTGCAAGAAGTCAAGCCACATGACAATTTGCATGTGAGGGGTTTGTGTGGGACAGCGGGTCAGTCAAAGGTGTCCGTAAGAGGGTCTCTCTAGCTCCATAGGCCAGGAGAATAACATATAACGGGAATGCGATTGTCCTGCTTCTTGGCCGAATGGGGTTGGACTGGACGGCCCACGAGGTCTCCTCCAACTTAATCTTTCTACGATTCTATATATTCTGCCACTGCCGGGAAACTGGGTGGAAATTCCAACCGTGTAACCAAAGGAGAAATGGCCGCCTGATCTCCCACGTGGTCACTCCCACACTGCTCTCCTCCCAACACCAACAGCTGTGGGCGGTCACCTGGACAGGTTCACAACTGGCAGGCAATGCCCAAATCCTTCCCTTCCTTTTGGCTTCCCATCTCTCAGCCTCAGCATATCTGCCTACGTGGGCTTTCTGCACATAATTTCAGCCCCTCCCCACAAAGAGCCGGCTTCTCGGCCTTCAGAATTACTTGCGGGTTTGTTTACTGGTTCATGTGTTTCGCACCTCAATTTCCTCCCAGCGAGCACGGGACTTCTCCCGCATAACTTCTCGTGTTGTTCTTTAGCACACCTTTACCCACTTCCTACAGAATTTGCATGTGCAGGTTGCATTCGACCGTACAGCTCTATGTGCGCTCTCTCATACGCTCACAAACACTCAGGCAATCAAAAGCAAGAGAAAATACTCCGCACTGTTGCTCGTGCGCATTGGCACAACAGAAAAGGGGAATAAAGGGGAAACAAACCACAGCTTTTCAAAGGAAACCAGAAGCAGGGAAAGGCGCAGGAAGAGCTTGAAGCGTAAAGCATCTACGCAACTACGTCACAACTCTCTCTAACAAACACACCGAGGGCCGCTGACGCCACAGGCGCAGGTTGGATCAGCCTGAACTACGCCACCACGTTGCTACGGCTAGGAGGTGGGCATTATAAATGGCCAACGGATTGGCACCATTTATTATGCTGCGGCGGTTACTACTGGCCTTCTCTTCTTGGGCGGCTCCGGGGTCCCCTCTGCACCCGGCGGTGGCAATTCCGGGGCGAGGGCCCCCGTTTCCGGACCAGGAAGGCCTTCCTTCTGCTCCGCTTGATCCTGGACACGTTCCACGCTTTCTCCTGGTTCTCCCAAGGAAGGCTCTGGGGTCTCGGTGGGGACGGCGTCCAGCTCTTCATTCGGTTCTTTGGCCATTTCCGTCTCTGCCTCTTGGCTGGGTTTAACGGAAGCCAGATGCGCTGGACCTTCTTCTGGAGCATCCTTAGTCACGTGGTCAGGCTCCACGGGAAGCTGTCCAGCTGTGGGAGGAACATCTAGACCCGGCACCATCCCGATTGTATCCAGCACTTGCTCCGCCTCTTTGGGGGCTGCATGTGGCTCCTGGGACTCCGGCTTGGGCACGGCAGGTGAGGAGGGGACGTCTTGCTTGGAGGCCGCCGGCTTGAGCAGTGCCTCGGCATCCCTCTTGACGCCGGCCTCCTTGGCCTCCTTCTGCCAGGGAAGGGAGAAGTCCAGCTTCTTCCCAAAGACGGAGGACCCCTGGGCGCTTTCGGGGGCGGGGGCCTTCTCCTCGCCCGCTCCTCCCCCAAAGAGAGAGGAGGAGAACTTGTTGAAGCTGGACACGAGGCTCTGTGGCTCAGCTGTGTTTTTGCCTGCAGAAGGCGGCTGAGAGGAGAAGAAGGAGCCAAAGGTCTTGGTACTCTCAGCTGAAGACATGAAGCCGAATTTCGGCAAAGTGGGCATGCTTGGGATTTCAAAGACGGGCCTGGAGCTGGCACTGGTGCCGTCTGTGGAAACGCTAGCAGGCTTAGTCTGCTCTACGCTACTTTTTACGGGAAGAGATTCAGAGGGACGTTCTTTGGTTGCAACACCCAGGTCCTTGTGGAGCAAATCGTGGCCTTCGCTTCCAGAAGTTTTTGACTCCCTTTCCAAGGATCCCAATGTCTCTGGTTGGAGAACATCAGCAAGTACCTCCTCACTGCTTATGGCTTCTTCTCCAGTTGGTGGACCAACTGATGAGGCATCCTCGGTCCCACCTCTGTCCTGCTTGCCAACTTCAGGTTCCAGCTTCTGGGTTTCCTCCATCTCCACCTGGGCAACGCTAGCCTCTTGTTCCGGGACAGAGGACTCTTCTGCAGATGGAAGAGATCCTCCTCCCAAAGTCTCCAGACCTCCCTCCGTTGACTCCGGCATCGCAGCCGTTTCTGTGTCAGCTGAACTACACAACTCAACAGGCCTTGTTTGATCTGAAGCCACCACATCGGCACCCAGTTGTTCCACTTCAGGGCCCTGATCCTTTCCAGGGACTTGTGTTTCTGAGGCATCTGGTGGGGGCTCTTGGACTTTCTCGGATGCGTCACTTGCTTTAGCGTCCATTTTAGCAGAACCGTCTATTGCCGTGTTATCCTCGGGCAAGACCAAGGCTCCTGCTTCTTTGGGGACATCTGTGGCTTCTCCTCTGGGCATTTCATCGTGTTGTTTCGGGACATTCGGTGCCTTTATCTCTGACGGTTCTGCTTTAGGTGCCTGGTCGGGTTTGGGGGCTCCTTTGCCAGGACCAGGGCTTGCGGCCCCCCTGGCTCTGGGACCGCCATCCTGAGGTTTCGAGGCCTTTGCCGGGGTCTCCTCTGCTGCGGCCCCTTTGAAGATGCCAAAGAAGTCGCCGGTCAGGGATGGAGAAGGGCCGCTGGGGAGGGAGGAAAAGCCAAAGAAGGACGCGCTCTTCTTTTGTGGCCCCGGCACTGCAGGGGCCGGGGCTGGGGCCTGGGAGAAGAAGCCAGACAAGGTTTTGGTGGGCTGCATTTTGGTCATGAAACTGGAGAACATTTCAACGGAGCTATCCAGGACGGATTTCTCACTCTCGGGCTCTTTGGGCTTCTCCTGCGCGTGAGGAGGCACTGCTGGCATTTGGGGGAAAGGTTTCTGGCCCTGGGCCTCTTGGGCCCCATCCTTCAAAGAGGGGCTGCTCCCCACTGGCTTGGCATCAGCGAGGCTCACGCCGGGCTCCTGGGGCTTCCCTTCCGCCCCCATCTGTTGTGTTGTGTCTTCAGGAGCATCAGCAGCAGCAGTGGGGGCCGTGACATCCACTGACGTCCTGTCAGCATCCGAACTGGGCTCTGGGATCCCAGAAATGTCATCCCGCACGCAGGGCGCAACGGCCCTCTCACCGATGTCGCTCTCCCCTCCGCCCTCCTCCAGCCCTCCTGCGGGTTTGGGGGTCTCCAGAGGGAAGCGCGTGCTGTCCTCCTCCGGCATACCAACTTGATGGCTAGGATCAGGATACGATGGGCCGTCCTCACTCTTTCTCTCATCCTCCAGAGGCTGACTGGCCACGGACAGCATTTCCACCTCACTTCTTGCTTTCGCTTCGCCTTCGGTGGCAGGAGCACTTGGTGCCTCTGCTTTCCTCTCCAAGCCAAGAACCTCCTGCTGTCCAGGGACTTCCCCAAATTTCTCCAAGTCCTGTTCCCCTGCCAACCCAGAGACAGAACCACCTTCAGCCACATGTGTGGCTACAGAGGCCTCCACGTCATTCGGCTTACTCTTCGAGCCGACAGCTTCCTGCTTACCGAGGACGGCGTCGATAATGCCAGCCGCTGCCGCCCCTTGCTTCTCCAGGTTCTGCCGGCTGGCCGTGCCAATACCTGAGTCCACGGAAACACACTGCTTCATGGAGGGCTTTGCGTTGGCTTGCTGCATAGGTGGCTTTGCAAGGTTGCTTGCCGGCTGGGGCTGAGGCCTGGCAAGGCCCCCCTTTTCGGGGGCAGGGGGTGGCGGCTTTTCATCCAAGAAGGAGGTCAGGTTGAAGAAGCTGAAGCTGGAGCTGCTCTGGGGCACGTTCTTTCTTTCAGTGGCACCCCCTGAGAGAAAGGAGGGCATCTTGAACAGGCCTTCGGTTTCTGGGGGCTTGGCCTGGGGGGCCACCGGAGGCTGGGCGGTGGGTTTCTCTGGGCCCGAGAAGAAGGAGAAGAGGCTCCTGGGGCCCGGAGGCTGCTGCTGCTGCTGCTGCGGCTGGGTTGCTGGCTGCGGTGGCTTGGGCATCGAGAAGCCAAACGGCAAGCTAAACCCGGACTCCTTGGGCGGCGGCTGTGGCTGCGGCTGCTGAGGGGGCTGCCTTGGCTGGGCCTGGCTGGGCCCGGTTCCTGCTCGGAGGTCCCGCTGCTGCTGCTGCTGCCCTGGTGATGATACAGGTCCGTGCCGTGTCACTGGTGGCTGGCTGGGTTGGCCCACTCCAGGACCCACATGAATGGGTGGCTTCTGGTTCCCAGCCATGGGGAGCACCTGGTCCGCCGCCATGACAGGCCTCTGCTCTACGGTTCCCGCAGGAATGACCTTGGGTTCTGGCACTTCCTTCCCAACCTGCCTGTGAGGCTCTTCGTGATGGCTAACGGGCTTCTTGGCCACTTCCACGCCAGCTTGCCCTGGAGGGACCGGTGCAGCGGTGGTAGCGGCATTGCTCCTCGGTGGGCCCACCCCACGCGGATCCACCTTCTCCTTTGTCGCCAACGAGCTCTGGCTCCCGCTCTTTGCTGGGACCGTGGTGCTTGGAGGGGAAGGGGCTGCATCTGCTCTGAAGAGATCTCCTATGGAGCCAAAGAACGACGAGATGCCCGCTGGCTCCGTCTTCTCCAGCGGCTTCTTCTCAGGCTCTTTTCTGACCTGACTTGGGGGCGGTGTGGGTGAGGGCGGTGGCGCCTTGCTGACTTGCGTTTGGAAGAAGTCGAAGAACCCAGGAGCCTGGCTTTTATTGGGGGGAGCAGCAGTGGGCGCATCTTCTCCCAGGCTGAAGATCTTCAGAGCGCTCTTGAAGAAGGTGCCCTCGCCCTCCGTGGACGCCTGCCCCGCGGCCGGCTGAGTCTTCTGGGGCTCCTTCGCGGCCACTTTCGGTGCCTGCGGACTTGTGGGGGGAGCCGGCTTCGGGCCCTCCTCCGAGCGACGGGGCTTGCTGTCTGTGGGGCCCATGCCAAACTGGGAGGGAGACCTGGCCAAGGGGGCCCTCTTCTGCTGGGCGCTCCCAGGTGGCTCTGGCACGGCATGTTTGACCGAGTCTTGTTTGGCAGGCCTGGCTGGGCTTTTGACCTCTGCCTCACGCTCAGCAGAAGCCGGCGGACGGCGCTGCGTGTCCTCCCCTGTTTTCCTGGGTGGCATCACGGAAAGGGCCTCGTTTTTGTGGTCCAATGACACCGAGGGAGCAACGGCTTTCTTCTCAGATGATTCTTCCAGTGACTCGGGCCCATCGGAGCCTTTCCCAATCAGGCCTCCCAAAGTGGAAAATAAAGAGGCGACCTTGTTCACCGGTGGCTTCTTCTCTTCTTCGGTGGTCTTCACTTCTGCTGCACTCCGAGGAGCCACTGGAGGCTCGGGCTTAGCAGACGACTGGAAGATATGAAAGCCGAAGCGCCTGGACTGCGCGCTTTCGGAAACAGTGGCCACGGCCGGGGTTTGGCTCGGCTCTTCTTTCCGCCTCGTGCTGGAAGCCGCCCGTGAGTGCACTCGCAGGTCGAGGGTCAGCGGAGGCTCCTCCCCGTAGCGGTCTGGCTCCCTCTCGGGCCTGAAGTCCACCCGGAGTTTCTGGAGTTTGTACCCCGAGAAGTCCAGGGGCTGCTCCCTCTGGGAATAGATGGACTCCTCAAACATCTGGGAGAAGGTCTCCAGGTTCATGTGCATGAGCTGATCGCTCCTCTGCAAGGCCACAGACAGGTCAAGGGGCTTGTTCACGTAATCGTTATCCAACGGCTCCTCTTCGGCAAACCAGAACAACTCGTCCTCGTTGTCGAGAGGCACTTTGAAGCCACAAACAGCCACCGTGTCATCTTCCAAGACCATGTTTTGCAGAGCATTCCTGGGATAGTCATAGTCCCAGTAGTCCGGTTGTGTGTAGCTGTCCGGAGTGCATACGTAGACATACTGCCCGGTAGCATCGGTGAGAAGAGAATAAACATACTGGCCGTCGCTATACATGTAGTATCCGCAAACGCCATTTTCGGCGGGCCACCAGACCCCATGCTCAAGCAGCATCAGCCAGTCCTGGTATTCCTGGCTGTAAGAGGAGTACACAAAACTCCCGTCCGTGCTCAAGGACTCGTGGTCAATCAGTGTCCACATATTGCCATCGCAAGCGGATGAGTAGCTTAAGTCCATGGGCGTATCTTCCAAAACGTAACTGTTGTCAAACGGAGGAAGAAGATTCCCGTTCAGAGAGTGAGGGTCCCACCCCTCGCTCTCTTCCAGACCGGCGTCTTGGAAGCTGAACTGGTCAAATGATTCGTGGGACATTACACTAAAATCTAGGCTCTGCACATCAAAATTGGCGTTTGACCTCCAGTCCACCCTGTTTGCGTTTCTGTCTTTTTTGCACAAATTCACAACGGTGTCATTAGAGCCTGACCAGTCCAGGAATTCAGCCACTGGGATGCAGTTCTGGTTCAAGACGTAATAGACCGGCAGGGAGAGCTGGTGGGCCACGGCGGAGAAGTCTCCCGGGTCGTACTCCCAGTCGTAACTGGAACAGCTCCTGGTTTCCTCAAAGGCAAGGTACTGTCCCGAGGGGCCGTTCAGTTTGGAATTAAGGGGTTCGTTGGAGCTTTCATGGAGAGCATTCTGATAAATGCTGGACTCAGTATCTCGCCTGTAAAGGGTGGGCTTCCTGGACAAATCCTGAATGTTTTCCTGAGAATTGAGAGCATTTTGGGAGACAGACCGCCGACAGATAGGCGCGTGCTCCTTGTCCACTGCATTGGGCAGGTGACCGTTGGTCCTGGAGGCCTCAGCCGCCCACTCCTCGACTTTTTCTTTTGGTCTGTGCAACAAATTGTGGATGAAGCCGGGCGCTTCCTGCCTTCCGCTGCCACGCTCTTTGGAGCCCCCGGGAGCCACGCGGGAGTCGAGAGTGCTCTCTCCAGGACTCGCCTCCTCCTCGCTCCTTTCGAAGATTTTCATGATGCCGCCCAAAGGACTTGCTTTCGTCTTCTCGGGCTTGCTTTCAGACACATTTTCATTCGACGCAAATTTAAATAATCCAGAAAGTAGGCCAGGTTGCTGACCGCTCTTTTGGTTGTCTGCCTCGTGTTTCACAGACAGGTCTTCCTTGTGGGTCACGTGGTCAGATGGGGAAAGGTGGAAAAGTCCTGAGAGCAGACCTTGCTGTGCTGGCTTCTTTGGAGGGTCATCCGTCGTCCTGCTTTCTGGGATTCTGCTGGACGGAGGGGGTTTCCCAGCGGTGGCATTCAACTCAGGTCCTCCTGGCATGGCGGACACCACCGACTCCTTGTGTTGGGAATCCCTCAGGCCTTGAGAACTCACGGGACTGTAATGATGTTCCCTCGGGATGATATTTGATCCATCTGAGGCCGCCCAGTTTTTGTGTCCACCTCCTGGCGCATGACGGCCATGATCTTCAGCAGCATCTCTCCTCCTCCTCATTGGCCCTTCTTTGTCCGTTGGCCCATCTGGAGCCGGGAGGGACTTTGAAGGGTCCGCTGGGTCAGGTCCCGAGCGGCTGCTTTTGAGGTCCTTCTCCACACTCCCGTGCCGTTCGTCAGGTTGGTCTTTTGGGGCCAGAAGGTTTTCAACAGAAGCCGCTCTCAGGATGGAAGAGAAGAGCCCAGGTTTCTCTCTGTTATCTCTATTATCTCTATTATCCGTCTGCTTCTCTGAAAAGCCAAGGCTGCTCAGAAACGGGACCTTGCCGGTGAAAGGGAAACTGGGCTCGCTATTTGCAGCACCCGCCCTCCGCACATCGTCTTCCGACTGGTGACCTTTCCCCGGACCCAGCGGGGTCTCCTTCGGCACAGGCTCAGAAGCAGAAGGGAGCAGCAACTGGCTGAAAGACTTTTTCAGGGGGCTGAAGAAGCCCTCAGAGGAGTCGCCTGGCCCTGAAAGCCCCGAAGGCGGAGCGCTGGCCTCCCTCGCGCCCCCACCTGGCTTGGCCTCCGGCACCTTCCCTACGGGGGGCTGATTCCTAGAAGGGCCCGGTGGTTCTCTCATGGTTTTCTCTGGCTGGCTTGAAGTGGGGGGCACCTCCGAAGAAGAAGAAGGCAGCAACTGGCTGAAAGACTTTTTCAGGGGGCTGAAGAAGCCCTCAGAGGGGTCGCCTGGCCCCAAAGTCCCCGAAGGCTGAGCTCTCGCCTCCCTTGTGCCGCTGCCGGAAGGACCCAGTTGTTCTTTGGTGAGTCTACCTGGCTGGTTTGAGGTGGGAGGTGCCTCAGAAGAAGGAAGCAGCAACTGGCTGAATGACTTTTTGAGGGGGCTGAAGAAGCCCTCAGATGGCTCGCCTGGCCCCGAAGACCCCGAAGGCCCCAAAGGCTGAGCCCTCGCCTCCCTTGTGCCGCTGCCAGGAGGGCCCAGTTGTTCTTTGGCTGCTCTGCCGGGCTGGTTTGAGGTGGGAGTTGCCTCAGAGGAAGGAAGCAGCAACTGGCTGAATGACTTTTTGAGGGGGCTGAAGAAGCTCTCGGGTGGGTCCCCCGACGGCTGCGCAATGGGGGCCTTGGGGTCTGCGCTTGGCTTGCTCTGCGGCACCTTCCCTGCCGGGTGTTGGTTTCCTACCGCACCCAGCTGCTCCCTAGTTGTGTCTGTCTGCTTTGAAGCGAGAGGAGCCTCTGAAGACGTTGGTGGGTCTGGGGTCTGCTTGGGAACAGCCAGGTTCTCAAAACTGGCTCTCAGGCTGAAGGAACTGACGGAGCTGGAGAATTTGCCAAAGATGGAGGACACGGGGCCACTGCTACTTGGGGCGGGGCCCGTTTCGGTCTTGGCCGCTTCGGCAGAGGCATTTGTAGGCCTTCTCTGGCCGTCTCCACAAGGCTGCTCGCTCACCTTGACTTCAGGGGCAACCGCGTGTGACGCCTCCACCTTCGGGGGCTCCTCCGGTTTCACGGTTTCCTTGTTTGGTGGTTCTTTTTCGGAGAAGATTTTCAAAGGGTTGAGCATGCCGAAGACAGAGTTCACGACGGAGCCGGCTGCATTCTGAGGGGGAGGCTGGGCCTGGGCCTCACTCGCGGGGGGGTGCTGGGTGCCGGGGACGAGGGGCGCCTGGTCGCCCGCCTTGGCCTTCTCGGCTGGGAGGCCCCCACGGCCCTTCCCAGCCCCCTCCTCGCTAATGTTCTGAGTCAGGGAGGGAGATGCTGCGGAGAGCGTGGTCTCCACTTTGCCGCTTGCTCTCACTTCTGGTTTACTTGAGAACAAGCTTGCGATGCCTCCCTCGGAGGGTGCGTCGTGTTTCTCCGGAGTGGAGGACACCAGCTTTTCCACGGAGGCCGTGAGGTGCTTTGTCCCCGAGCCCACTTTCTCCGTGAAGGAGCTGAACAAGGAGTTCACCGTGCTCTTCACCCCGCTCAAGTCCGGGAGCGCCTCGGAGATGCCTTTGGTGCCCTGGCCGTCCTCCGCAGACGGGGCGGCTCTGCTCGGCTCCGCGCCAGCGCTCTCCTCGTCCGCCTTCTTCTCCGGACCAGCGGCCTTGGCGGCAGCGGCAGGCTCCTCCGCATTCTTGCTCTTGGGGAGGGTCCCGATCTTGCTGATCTCCTCCTCCTTCTCATGGAGGTACTCGGAGACGGTCTCCACCAGGCACTGCAGCTCGTCCATGGCGTCCACGTACTCCTCGGTGGGCTCCTCCACGGGGGAGAGGGCCAGGTCCTGCTTGAGGAAGCCCGGCTTCCCGGCTCGGCCCCGGTGCGGGCGCTTCTCCCCTTGCAGCAGGGCCGTGGCGCTCCCGGTGTGGTCCCCCAGCCGGCGGAGGTTGGACTCGCACAGCGCTTGTGAAAGGATCGCGATCTCCTCCAGTTCCTCCTCCTCCTCGTCCGAAGCGGGGGAGTACTGGGGCTCGTCCGAGGCGCTGCTGTCAAACTCCTCGAGCGCGCCCAGCGGCAGAAAGCAGTTTGCCGGCGGCTCCGGAGGCGCCCACTCTTGATCCCCAAAGTCTCGGCCAGCTTGCTTGCTCTTGGGAAGCTTCCCACTCTTGACCAGAAGGCCGTTTTTGTACGGGCGCAAAAGGGGGTACCCCGGCAACTGCTCCTCGCTTTCGACGAGGGCGCTCCCGTATTTCCCGGGTTCCTCATAACCCAGGCACATACCACGATCTGTTCTCGTCTTGATGCTCCCCGGAGAAACCGCCGTGGGAGACAGCCTCAGGATGTGGCTATTTTGTGGGGTGCCCGTCAACTGGCGCTCCTCAAAATTGTTGTACCTGAGCTTCTTTTTCCTCCTCCTGTCTATCGTGTCGTACTCCTCGGGATAGCACGGCACCCCGGGGCGCCCCGACTCCGTGATGCCCACTTTCTGTGGAAACCTGGGCCTGTCGTGGCGGGCAGGGGTCTCTCTCCTTGGAAAGGGGGGGCTTTGGGCTCCGTGCCAAGTCCTCGTCCTGTGGCTCTTTTCCAAAAAGTCCTCTATGAGCTGCTTGCCCAACTCCTCGTAGCGCTCGCCAGGCTCTTCGTGGCCGAATTCGCTCTCAAACGGAATGATCCTGATTTTTCCGTGGCTAACTAAAGGCTCTTGGCTGATGCGTCAGGAAGAAGGAAGAAAAACAGGGCGGAAGGACAAAGAGAAAACGGAAAGGAAAGAGCAGGAGGGACGAAGAGGAAGAAGAAGAGGAAGAGGAAGAAGAAGAAAAGGGCTTTTAACACAAAACATGCAAAGGAAAGATCCGTAAAGATCACGTCATAGAAGGAGAGGCATGCACAGAAATACAGACGTGTGGAAAATGTCACGGCATATGAGGATCGCACCTCAGTCGTTTAGTAATGCTAACAGTTCAGAAGAAATGTCATCCTGGCAGTGGTTTAAGGTCGTGGCGCATTCGGGATGACGAAGCCTGGCGGGGAAGAGAAGGAGCCGAGAGGGAGACACCCCCCCCCGATCCGCAGAGCAGAACAGCCCCCCAGGAGTGGGAAGAAGAGAAGGCGTGCCACCCCCAGGACCCCCCCCTCCCTGCAGCCCAAAAAGGCCCCTGGGGGCTCCAGAATGGGGTGGGGGGCACTGCCAGGAAAGAGGCAAGGCCCCCCACCCCATTCTGGAGCCCCCAGGGGTCTTTATGGGGAGGGAGAGAGGGGGTCCTCTTCTTCCCACTCCCTGGGGGGGGGGGGCACACTCCTCACGGCCGCCTTCCTGGGGCCACCTCCTGCCCAGAGGTATTTTGCAAGCGACACAACTGACATGATTTCTCACTCCCCATCTAATAATATATTTTTTTTGTCGTGTCAGGAGCGACTTGAGAAACTGCAAGTTGCTGCTGGTGTGAGAGAATTGGCCGTCTGCAAGGACGTTGCCCAGGGGACTTTGCCCGGATGATTTGATGTTTTTATCATCCTTGTGGGAGGCTTCTCTCGTGTCCCCTTTGCATGAGGAGCTGGAGCTGATAGAGGGAGCTCATCCTCCTTTTCCCGGACTCGAACCTGCGACTTGTCGGTCTTCAGTCCTGCCGACACAGGGGTTTTATTTAATTTATTTAATTATTATTAATTAATAATAATGAAACTTTATGTATACCCCGCTCCATCTCCCCCTGGGGGACTCGGGGCAGCTTACACGAGGCCACGCCCATCAGTACAGTAAACACAATATAACACAAAAGCATAACAAAAGCAGAACATAAGATACATAAAATGCAAAACCAATATAATAAGCGAACAGCAAAAGCAAATCAAACGTTAAAACACAGAAGGTTCGGCTGGGCAGGGCAAAACTCAATGATAAACATTTTGAAACGCTGGGAGATAGGACAATATAAATTACTAGCCGTTCCCTGCCAGGCGTTGCTGTGGCCCAGTCTGTTGATCTGGAAAATAAAGTCATGAGAAAGTGCTGGTTTCTAATCTATGTCATGTCTTTCTGCTTGTGGGTAAACAGAATATCTTGCTATTTCTTTGTCAGTGTGGATGTGGAAAGTATCTGGTTTGCCCACTCTTGAACATGCAACATATCATTGCCCTTTCAAATCTAGGATACTATGTCTTCCTCTGTGTGAATCATATCTATCTATCTCTATCTATGGCTGGGTGGCTCTCTGTCAGGAGGACTTTGTTTACGTTTTCTTGCCCCAATGAAGGGAGTTTCTGATGGCCATGGGGACTCTGTGTGGGAAGTTTGCCCCGATTTTGTCATTCGTGGGGTTCAGAATGCTCTTTGATTGTAGGTGAACTGTGAATCCCAGTGACTACAACTCCCAAATGTCAAGGTCTATTTCCCCCAAACTCCATCTGTGTTCATATTTGGGCGCATTGAGTGCTTGTGCCAAGTTTGGTCCAGATCCATCATTGTTTGAGTCCACAGTGCTCTCTGGATGTAGGTGAACTACAACTCCCAAACTCAAGGTCAGTGCCCACCAAACTCAGTATATTATGTTGGTCATGGGAGTTCTGTGTGCCAAGTTTGGTTCAATTCCATTGTTGTTGGAGTTCAGAATGCTTTTTGATTGTAGGTGAACTATAAATCCCAGCAACTACAACTCCCAAATAACAAAATCATAAATTTTTGAGTGATGGTCACTCCTTGTGTTGTGAGACGTTTTGTTGCCAAATTTGGTGTGATTTCGTTCATCGGTTCTTTTGTTTTTAAGGTACTCAGTATGCACAGAGCATTTATATAGATATAGATTGGGAGGAGGATCCGGGGGCGAGGAAGGATTTAATTGCACGAAACATAAAACAAAGTGCTTCTGAGGTCATTTTATGCAAAGTTTGGTCAGGAAGTATCTTATGTTCCATCACTGAAGGCACATTGGAATAACCAGGTTTTCAGGCTCCTCCTGAAGACTGCCTGTGTGGGGGCTTGCCTAATGTCTCTGGGGAGTGAATTCCAGAGCCGGGGGGCCACCACAGAGAAGGCCCTGTCCCTCATCCCCACAAGTCGCACTTGCGACGCAGGCGGGAGCGAGAGAAGGGCCTCTCCAGAAGATCAAAGAGGTCGTGTGAGTTCGTTAACAGAGGCACCCCCCCCTCCTTGCTTTAGAGGGATTGATTATTTATTGGTGGCATTTGTATGCCGCCCTTCCCAACTCGGAAGGGGACTCATCAATCCCTCCAAAGCAGGTTTGGGAAGCTGACGTGGAAGCCGCCAGAAACAAAAGCTGCCCCAGAAGGGAGCCAGCAGAAGGGTCGGGTGGCAGCGAGTGCAAGAGTGCATGCAAAACGCCACATGGCCACAGGTCAGGGAGGAGGGGCCCTCCCACCAGCCACAGGTATATCTTATATATGGAAGCAGCTGGACTTCCCACTCGGCTGGGAAGCACGCTCCCGGTCAGTCTGCCTGTCAGTCAGTCCACTCATGGTGGAGCCCGGCCCACTAGACCTTCTTCACAAAAGCAAGGAGGGGGTGGGTGGCAGGTGTGGCAGGGCTGGAGCCACAGGAACCGTAGGTACCTCTGGAAGGGAAGCAAGAAGGCACCACAACTGGAGGGCCCAGGACTCAGGTCAGGACGGGGCCAACATGGGCCCTCCCTCCCTCCCTCCCTCCCTCTTTTTACAGGGTATGGATTTGTGTATTAAGTTTTGACAGGGATCATCTCCTGTGTGGGTGTGTGTTGAGGAAGAACACCTGGACACTGAAGCCATTAAGTGTGAGCCACTCCCTGATGAGTGTAGATCAGGTACAGAAGTCTTTCTTGATGTATTCAGCGAGTGAGTGAGAGGGTGTGAAGAAAGGGAGGGAGGAGGTCTCATCAGATGACCAGAGACCGGATGGGACTACACGACAGGAATGGCTGACTATTTACCAAGAAAGAAGCAGACAATGCATGTATTTAATGCACTGGCTTTGTAAGTTATTTTTTCTGCAATGGACAATGTATATTTCCAAGGCTGGTGTGTTTTCTTTGTAAAGCTGCATATTTGACTACTCAAGAGCAAAAGTTATTTTTTCCCTTCTACTCTGTGTGATTCGACTTAAGGGCTGGAGCTGGGAAGACTGCTGGGTAGCTTCCGTACAGACTAATAAACCGCAACACCTCTCTCTGGGCGTTTGGGACTGCAACTCCCACCATTCCTCCCCACAGCCTCAGGCCCCTTCCCTTTCTCCCTTGGGTGCTTAAGCAGAAAGGGAAAGGGAAAGGAAAGGGCCGGAGGCCGAGAGGAGGAATGGTGGGAGTTGCAGTCCAAAACGCCCAGAGAGAGGGAGGGACAGAGGGAGGGCCCAAGCTGGCCCACGCCTGGTTCAGATGGACAAGCTCAATGTCTCACGTGGGAGGTTGGGCAGCGGGGACGGGCAAGGCCATGTGGCCCACATTCTGGTGGCTGCTGTGGCGTCCAGTGGCTTTTGAGGACACTTTGGTTTGAGCACTGTGGGACCAACCTCTGTGTATGTCTGTATATGTTTGTATGCCAATGATTTATGAGGCCATAAAGAAGACTCCAGCAAAGCATTCCAGCGGGGAAGCATGCGGGGAATGCGGAAGTGCTTCATCAGCGTCGCAGATGGACAATGAAAGCGACAGCTCCCCTGGCGGACAGAAAAATGTTCAATAGCCTCTGTCTATGTCTGTATACGTTGTATGTCAAAATTGGCATATATGTGTACACTGTAATCCGCCCTGAGTCCCCTGCCGGGTGAGGAGAAGGGCGGAAGAGAAAAGCTGTAGATAAATAAACTGACCCTAGAGTCTCCTGTCAAGAAACAGAGTCAGAAACCGAGCCAGGTAAACGGTGAACAGGGTCAGTGCAAAGGCCCGCCCAGGGAATGGGGGCTGCCATGGCAGGGCCATGCAATTTGGGATGGGGTGTGTGGGGCTGAGGCACCGCCTGCCTGCCTGCCTGCACTTAAGAGGCTGCTGTCACGTTGGGGTGGGCAAGGAAATCCCAGAGCCCCCGGGGAGAGAGGGGGGGAGCGAGAGAGCGAGAGAGCGCTATCTGGGCCAGACAGATGAGGAGGATAATACTTAATCCAAAGCAGGGAGTCGCGGGGAAGGAAGGCGCTGCCGATTTGCAACGCCAGCAGCCACGTGTGGGTTTTGATGTCGCCAGAAATGCATAAACCCCGCGGGAAAGGGGGGGGGTGCTATACTTTGTAGTCCTGTTTTTCTAGGAATGTTGAATGTGCTCAAGCTCCCCCGTGGGCACGCGTGTGGTCCGTGGCAAATCAGGAAGCAAAGAGGGCCAGCCCCGACCTCTGGGAGGCCTGCAATGCCCCAGAATGGGCTCCAAGCAGGTGACTATGGATTCCTAACTGATTTGGTCCCTTTGAAAACCAAGTGGGAAAGGAACGCAAGGACGGCTGCAGGTAAGACAGGGAAAAACAGGCCGAAGCAAGGAAGAGCAGCCCTAAACGATTCCGGCCCAGTTTACCTGTCCGAACGTATTCTCCCCTATGAACCATCATGTTTGCTAAGACCGTCTGGAGGGGCCCTGCTCTCGATCCCACTGGCCTCACAGGCGCGTCTGGTGGGGACGAGAGACAGGGCCTTCTCGGTGGTGGCCCCTCGACTCTGGAACTCCCTTCCACTGGAGATCAGAACTGCCCCTTCGATCCTGACGTTCAGGAAACAGGCTTTGGGGATTGGCATTTGACGAATGAGCCATGATCCTGTGATATGGATGGAGGACGACGAATAATGATTTTTGATGACGACTGACCACTGTAATCATATGATTGTATTTTGCTATTTTAATGTTTTAGTGTGATTTAGAAATAGGATGTTTTAATGACTGTCTGTAATATTGATGTTGGAAACCGACCTGAGTCCCTCGAACGGAGGTGAGAAGAAGACTGGGATACAAAACTACCAAATAAATAAATAAATAAATTTCTGCACAGCCGTGGCCTTGAGATTGGGAGGCGCCGGAACACCAGAGCCTTGGACGTGGTTTTGAAAAAGAAAACAGGCGAAAGGATAGAGAGCGTGAGACAAAGATGCCAAATCTCGACAGGATTCACTTCTCCTTCCTCTTCACTGGTTCTGCAGGATTCTACATGTGCTGTGACTATTCAGATAACTTATCATATATTTACACTGTGTTAGGACTGGGGTGGGGATCTTTGCTGCATGTTTGTAAGGCGCTGGAGTTATTTCCATTCCAAGATGCACTTCTTTCTCTACGTAAATCACCGGGGTTGTGGCGCAGCTGGCTGAGTGTCAGCTGCATTAAGATCACTCTGACCAAAAGGTTGTGAGTTCGAAGCCAGCCCGGGTTGGAGTGGGTTTCCAACCAATTGTGTGTAGCCTGTTGTCGACCTTTGTAACCCCAAAGACAGTTGCATCTGTCAAGTAGGAAAATTAGGTACCACCTTAAAGTGTGGAGAGGCTAAATTAACTAATTTATGAGGCCATAAAGAAGACTCCAGCAAAGCATTGCAGCGGGGAAGCATGCGGGGAATGCGGAAGTGCTTCATCAGCGTCACACCTGAAAGACAGTTGCATCTGTCAAGTAGGAAAATTAGGTCCCACCTTAAAGTGTGGGGAGGCTAAATTAACTAATTTATGAGGCCATAAAGAAGACTCCAGCAAAGCATTCCAACGGGGAAGCATGTGGGGAATGCGGAAGTGCTTCATCAGCGTCGCAGATGGACGAGGAAAGCGACAGATCCCCCGGCAGAAAAAGTTAAATAGCCTCTGTGTATGTCTGTATATGTTTGTAAGTCAATGATTTATGATGCCATAAAGAAGACTCCAGCAAAGCATTCCAGCGGGGAAGCATGCGGGGAATGCGGAAGTGCTTCATCAGCGTCGCAGATGGACGAGGAAAGCGACAGCTCCCCCGGCGGCCAGAAAAAGTTCAATAGCCTCTGTCTATGTCTGTATATGTTTGTATGTCAAAAATTGGCATATATGTGTACACTGTAATCCGCCCTGAGTCCCCTGCGGGGTGAGGAGAAGGGCGGAATATAAAAACTGTCAATAAATAAATAATAAAAATAAATAAACACCTCCAAAAATGGGTCGGTGGTCCTGACATGAGGGTGCGCCTTACCACTGATGACATCTTACAATGGAAGAAATACGGCAGGTATTTTACGAGCATCTATGTATTTTGACTAAGCTGCCATGGACATATGAGGCTAGTATTGTTGTTGTTGTTGTTATTAGGGTGTTGCATGGTTTCTGGGATTTTTGGCTGAGTTCTAGCAGCATTTTCTCCTGATGTTTTCCAACAGCCTGAGGCTGTGGCAAGACATCAGGAGAAAATGCTGCTAGAACCCAGCCATACAGCCTGGAAACCGCACAACACCCAAGTCATTCCAGCCATGAAAGCAATACATCATCATCATCATCACCATCACACAAAAGCCACACAGCAATTTGGAGACACCGAGGGCCTCCCTCCCTGGGGAAGAGTGTGCCGATGTGCGCTCCCGAGGGGAGGGGAGGGGAGGGGAGGGGACCCACCTGACAGCGACGGCCCTTTCGAGGAGGTCGCAGGGGTCCCGGGGGGCGCCCTGCTGCTGCAGCCGGGACACCACGACGGGGAACTGGTGGACGGAGGCGTTGGGCTGGGCGGTGGTGTGGAAGCGCGGGGGGAGGCTGCCGCTGGCCTCCTCGCTGCGGTAGTCGCTGTCCCGGTCCTCCGCCGCGCTGTCGTGGTCGCGCTCCTCCAACGCTTCAAACGAGACACAAAACGAGTGAGCCTGGCCGGCACCCGCAACCCCGCCCTGCCCCGCCCTGCCCACCTACACAGCCCCCAAAGGCAGGTGAGCGCTTTCGTCCTTTTGGGAGGAGGAGGAGGAAAGGCAACGGTGGGGCCTCCACGCCTCCCGCGGAGATGATGCCACGCAAACACGAAGGCCAAAAGAGAGAGGCCGGAATGGGAGGGTTTCACGTTACGAGAAAGGGAGCGCAAGATGAGAAGGGGGCGGCAGACAGGCAGGTGGACAGGGCCCTTCGGCATCTTCTCTTCCTTCTCGTGACACTTTCCCAGCACTGAGCCCATCGTTTCCCCTGAAGCCCCAAAACGAGAAAGCATCTGGGTTGTTGTAGTGTTTTTTCGGGCTATATGGCCATGTTCTAGAGAGGCATTCTCTCCTGACGTTGCGCCTGCATCTATGGCAAGCGTCCTCAGAGATAGTGAGGTCTGTTGGAACTAGGAAAATGGGGTTTATATATCTGTGGAATGATTACCAGGGTGGGACAAAGGACTCTTGTCTGGTGGAGCCAGGTGTGAATGTTTCAACTGACCACCTTGATTAGCACATAATGGCCTGGCAGTGCCTGGAGCAATCTTTTGTTGAGAGGTATATAATAATGAGTTGTTATAGGTTTTTTCGGGCTATATGGCCATGCTCTAGAGGCATTCTCTCCTGACGTTTTGCCTGCATCTATACCAAGCATCCTCAGAGGGAGTGAGGTCTGTTGGAACTAGGAAAATGGGTTTATATATCTGTGGAATGACCAGGGTGGGACAAAGGACTCTTGTCTGCTGGAGCTAGGTGGGAATAATGTTTCAACTGACCACCTTGATTAGCATTTGATGGCCTGGCTTGTGGCTTGTTAGTACCTGGGGCAATCTTTTGTTGAGAGGTGATTAGATGTCCTTGTTTGTTTCCTCTCTGTTGTTTTGCTGTTGTAATTTTAGAGTTTTTTAATACTGGTAGCCAGATTTTGTTCATTTTCATGGTTTCCTCCTTTTTGTTGACATTGTCCACTGTCAGGCCATTATATCATCATCATCATCATCATCATCATCATCATCATATTTAATTACTTATTAATCGCCCTCCATCCGAGAATGCTCTAAGCGATTTACAGCTAAATTGTAAAAGATAAAATACATACATACAGATATTGATAAAATTAACAGGGATCAAATGCTCTAGTGAAAAGCCAGGTCTTAAGTGCGAGAGTAAAAGGCCCTCAGTCACGCGTGGCTCTCACGTAGGGCGGCCATTAAGGAATCCCACCATAAGGCAGGAGGGGCAGGAATAGAGAAAGCCCACCTGCGCCTGGTCCTTTCCAAACCCCCTTCTCTGGACCCGGTATAGAGAGTAAGTCGCCGCATTGTGCTGGTCGTTGCGACCTCCGATGATGATGGGAGAAGGAGAGGCGGTCCCTAAGGTACGATGGGGAGGGGGAAAAGGAAAGGGCCTGAGGCTGTTTGGAATGATGGGAGTTGCAGTCAATAAACACCTGGAGGGAGAGCCCAAGTCGGTCATGGAAGCCTTAGGCAACACACACCCCAGGAATGTCGGGATTAATTGAGTTATGTATGTGTTTTAAATGTGCTTTTATGCATTGCAAATATGGATGCCACTGTGTATGGAAAATGTTGTGCAGAAATGTTTAGGATTGAGGCTGTGATTAAGTGAACTTGAGGAAGTAAGATAAGCTTTGCCCCAGGCTCTCCCTGGCGAAGGGTGGCTTTCTTTCCAGAGACCCCCACCCATCCCCCACCCAGCGCTGCCAACACAAGCTGGGTCCCCAGTGGGCCCCCCTCCTGCAAAAGGAGCCGCGGCGCAGCGAGAGGCATCCCGCATGGAGACCACGCAGACTTCAATCAGGCTCCTCGGCCGTGATGATGCTGATCGTTCCAGACGGAAACGGATCCTCCAAGCTGAACGGAGCAGAACCGCTCTCCCCCCCCCCCCCCCCCCCCCCCCCCCCCCCCCCGGAGGGAAAGCAGCCGATTTTGCTGCAATCTGTGCCAAGGTGCCCACGGGGGAAGCGAGAAGCGGAGACACCATGATGTGAATGTGCTTTTGAGGTGGAGGGGCCAAGCGAGAAAAGCCCACCCCCCTGAGGATACTTCCTGGGGAAGAAGAAGAAGAAGAAGAAGAAGGGGCCTTTGTGGGGGTCCAAAGGGACAACCGGGGAGGGTTCTTTCCCCTTTGCCCTGATCTATGGCCAACCCAGAAGGATGGAGAAGACCCCCTCCCATTGGTTTCAATGAGGCATGCTTGGAGGTGGGTTGCAGGGAAGGTCCAAGGCTTTATACTTGTCATATGTTCCCTAGTTGATGGTGGTTGGTGATGGAAGTCTTGGCTCTAAAGGGCTGAGTAGTTAGTTAGTAACAGTTTACTGGTAAAAGCAATTAGGGGTGGAGGTGTGCAGGAGATGGGTTGCAGCTGGGTGTGGATTTAAGGAGCTAACCTTGGGACTGATCTTTGGGAGAAAAGTATCTGTTGCATTTTGGTGGTGGATGCTGCTGGTTTTCCCCCCAGGTCTGTTGGATTTTCGGTGTCCTGACCAGTCTCCTGTAATCTTGGAACCCTGGAACCTTGAACCTTTGGACTGGCTTTTGACTATGGTATAGACCTTGAAGGAGCTGGGGGTGGTGACAGCCGACAGGGAGCTCTGGCGTGGGCTGGTCCATGAGGTCACGAAGAGTCGGAGACGACTGAACAAATGAACAACAACATAGACTCTTGATCCCTGGACTTTGTTTATTGAACTCTCGGCATTTGACCATTGGACTGGACCCTTTTGACTACGAAGTTATTTTTGCTATCCGTTTTTGTTTATTCTGTAGCTGTGTGTTATCTTTGTGTTTTATATTTTGGTCTATTAAAACAGCCAGCAAGTAAGTGCTGTTTAATTAAACTGTTTGTTTAAACTGGGAGTTTTGATTCATCTCTACCTAAACAAGGTAGAGCCCTAGCAACGTGACAATACTGAGATCGTCATACAGATCTGAATGCAATACATGCCCATAGGTATTCTGTGTATTGGTGAGATGGCCAGCTTGGGCCCTCCCTCCCTCCCTCCCTCTGAGCGTTTTGGACTTCAACTCCCATAACGTGGGTATGTAGATGATCCCTTGATTGACTGAAGTGTCCAGTTCCAAGAGGACGAAGGGCCAAGTTCGGCCTCCCTCCAGGTATTTTGGACTCCAACTCCCACCATTCTTAACAGCCCCAGGCCCTTTCCTTCTTCCCAACAGGAAAAGGAAGGGGCCTGAGACTGATAGGAATGGTGGGAGTTGGAGTCCAAAATGCCCAGAGGGAGGGGTGACTTCTAAACCAATTCCTCCACCACTCAGCCAGGAGAAAGGCCCATGTGTTCCTCTTCCAGATGTTCTAGAACTGCAATTCCAGCATTCCTGCTGCACTTGCTTCATCCCTCTCCTGCGTAGTGCGCAGCCCAATGCACAATGTATGGGCCTGGCCAGGCTCGAGCCCCCGCCTCCCCCGCCCCATGCATTTCGTCCCCTGCCTCCAGGTGCACACATTCTTCTTCTGCTGCTGCTGAGAAGAATGAAGGAGGCCTGGAAAGATGGAGGAGGGTCCACCACGGAGGTCAGGAGGAGGAAAGAGGCATGCTCCACTTTGCAAGGTGACCTGGGAGAGATTCATGCATGCAGGCCGAGGAGGAGGAGGAGGAGGGAGGAAGGAAGGGGCAAGGGAGGCTCACATCGCAACCTGGCCCTCGGTCCGGCAGAGATCTACCCTCTAGGGTCTGGAGGAGAAAGAGGGAAGGAAGGAAAGAGAGAAAGGAAGAGAGAGAGAGAGAGAGAGGAAGCAGAAAGAGGAGGTGAGAGGAAGAAGCAGCAACGGAAGCAGAAACAGGCCCCTTCCAGGGCCACCACCGCTTGGAAAGCAAAACCCGTGTCATTTTCAGGAAGACACCAGTGTCTGGCTCCAGCCCCAGGCCACCTCATGCCCAAGGTGGGTCTTCAGGTCTTGTTCTTGGTGGCCAGATCATGCCATGGGCCCTTCTGGCCCTGGTCCTGCCTCATGGGGAAGAGCTTTGCCCTTGGGGTTTTTTCCCATGTCAGGAGGGACTTGAGAAACTGCAAGTCACTTCTGATGTGAGAGAATTGGCCGTCTGCAAGGACACTGCCCAGGGGACACTGCCTGGATGTTTTGATGTTTTACCATCCATTGTGCCACTGGGTAAATCCCTAAACTCTGGCGCGTGATGCAGAGCAGAAGGAAACAGATTCCCAGTAAACACTGGGAAGACCCTCCTGAACCCAAGAGCTGCTCAACAGCGGGAAAGGCTTCTTGGGAAAGCGGAGTGGACGCTCCTTCCTCAGAGGCTTTGAAAGGGAAACTGGAGGGACCCCTCCCTGTGATGCTGTGGCCGTGATCCCCTGCACCAGGTTCGAGTGGAGGGAAGGGGGGGCTGCCTGGCCCTTGGGCCCCACCTGATGCTCCCTGCGGTCATGGAGGACCCCCATGCGGGAGAAGGAGTGGAGGTGCGGGGAGGAGGGACAGGCTTTCGTTAGGCTTTATACCACAAAGTCACACTGGGCAACCCCATCACTAATCTCCATGGCAGGCCAGGCACATCCTCACTGACCCTCTGCCTGTTCTGATGTTCTGATGTTAGGTTCCCAAACTGACCACGTATTTCTTAACCAAACCCACAGAGCCTGGTGGGGCCATTGTCCAAGGGGCAACGTCAGAACGTGCCTGTTTCCATATACGAGGCTAAGGTTGAGGCTGAAACTGACACCAGAGAGCAGAGCAAGGAGGGGATCAAGTGAGAGGAGGAGCAGACTCTGTAAATCCAGAGACTGAGAATGCCATCCTTGACGGGACCAGACTGGACGAGGATTCTCCGTCCACACACAGGACAAAGCCACCCCACTGGAGGGCAGGGCAGAAGTGGGGGGCGAGGGGGAAGGCAGTCTCCTGCAGCAGGGAGTTGGAGATGGAGTTCTGC